TTTTTTTAAGTTTTAAAAAAGGTTATAAAAAATGTCAATAATTATCGATACCGAACGATATGAAACATTATATCGTTGATACATTTTTTAGCTATATCGACCAGCCCTATGTAACCATTAATAACATTTTATCATGACAAACAATGAGAAATGGAAGACAAAACCTGGGCAAAAGAAAAGTGATTTCAGTGCCCGTTATATCAAGTATCAGCAACTGAAGGAAAGCACTGTCTGCTGATATATATTCTTCTCACATTCCTGTCTTTAAGAAGTTAATGACCTCAGATTACCCATCTAGTCCTGGGCTTTCATTCGGGGTTATCCCTCTAAGTGGAATATGCAGTGATTAATCAGAGGAATTTGCTCGATCACTCAACCCTTTCAGAGGTTAAAGGAATATTGAGGGTTATTTCCTACTTAATATTCATAGACAGCATCTGTGGCACAAAAAAACAATGTACCTAAGGTTGTGAAAAATGACCAAAAACACAACTGTACTTAACTGTTATGGAGACAGGGGTGCCAAAACATTTAAAATATACAACTGTTGCAAAAGAACAGCCATAAAAAAAAGAGTTATTGTGTTTGCATTTAAGTTATGTCCAATATAAAAATATGTTTTTGTCCGAGGGACAAACAAAAGGGACAAATCAATGTTATATCTGTGGTATTCAAAAACATGCCAAAAATCTTGTCAATAGATTAGAAGTTGTAAATAGCCTGGACTATTCCTCAGAAAGAAATTGTATTTAAGTTAAACATTCAAGAAGACACTGCATACATAAATACATTTATGTTTATCTTTTGGCCTTAATGTCTGTGAGAAATTCACATTTGGTTAAAAACATACATTAAATTGTATTGACATACATTAAATTGATCAAATGTGACAGTAAATGTTAATAATGTTACAATGTTACAAAAGATTTCTGTGATAATAAGAAATGCTTCTTGAAAACCAAATCAGCATATTAGAATGATTTCTGAAGGAGTAATAGCTGCTGAGAATTCAGCTTTGCCATCACAGCAATAAACTACATTTTAAAATATTTGAAAACTTATTAAAATATATAATTTTACATTGTAATATTTCACAATATTACTGTTTTTACTTTATTTTTGATGCAACAACATTAAATAAAACATTAAATAAATCTTACCGACCCCAAACTTTTGAATGGTAGTGTAAACACACACAAAAAAAGTAAATATAATTACATACACACATTAAACAACAGACGCACTTCATATTATTCATATTATACTGAGAATTGAAAATTGACTGAATAGCATATGAGAGTGTAGAAATTTGTGAATGATAACCATGATAACCAATACTGATGCAAGTGATGAAGTGAGAAGAGAGCAATGCCAGTCTTTACTATGAGATTCAAACATCCATAAGGACATATCAGCATATATACAATATTCACATCAGGGTGATGAATATGAAGATAGTATTGTCGAGCTGGCATTGCCTGTTCCAGAGGAAGCGGAATGAGTCGCATGCATGCTGAAACACATCAATGCACATGGGCTATGTGCATTTTTCACCTTCCACCAGGTTCAGCTCCCATAATGCACCAGGTCACAACAGGAAGCAATAGGCCAATAGGAATGAGAGGAATGAGAGAATGATCAAATGTGACAGTAAATGTTATAAATGTTACAATGCTGTTCTTTTGAACTTAATGTCACAGTTTCCATAATAAAATATATAGCAGCACAACTGTTTTCAAAACTGGTGATAATAAGAAATGCTTCTTGAAAACCAAATCAGCATATTAGAATAATTTCTGCAGGAGTAATGGCCACTGAGAATTCAGCTTTGTTGTCACAACAAATTACATTTTTAAATATTTTAAAATGTATTTAAAATATCAAAAAAGTAATATTTCACAATATTACTGCTTTTACTTCATTTTTGATACAACAATATTAAATAAATCTTACCGACCCCAAACTTTTGAACGGTAGTGTATATACCAAAAAAAATTAATATACTATGCATACAAGTTAAAAACTTCATATTATAGTTACAGTACTGAAAATTGAAAAGTGACTGAAGAGCATATGAGCGTGTAGAAATGTGTGGATGATAACCAACACTGGAAATACTGATGCATGTGATGAAGTGAGAAGAGGAATTGAGCAATGCCAGTCTGCAACAGTCCTTATTTTTACTATGAGATTCACACATTCATAAGGACATATCAGCATATCCAATATTCACATCAGGTAGATGAATATGAAGACAGGATTGTCAAGCTGGCATTGCCTGTTCCTGAGGAAGCAGAATGAGTTGCAGAATGCATGCTGAAACACATCAATGCACATGGGCTATGTGCATTTTTCATCTGCCAAGGAAAATGCCATACACGGGATGGTGATGGAATGGAGATCTGCTGATAGTAATGGAAATTAAAATACCTATTCATGCAAGAGGCTGACTCAGGAGACGGCCCTTCCACCAGATGCACCCGGTTCAGCTCCCATAATGCACCAGGTCACAACAGGAAGCAATAGGCCAATAGGAATGAGAGAATAAGAGTGAGTTGTCCAAAAACAGGGGGAGGTGGATCACGGCCTATGTGAAAAATGTTAACCAAAACTAGAAGATGTGTTGAAATGTCCCTGGTTGTGAAATATCAGTCAGACAAGTATGGTCAGTGGAAACGCAATTAACATTAGAGGCAGCAAAGCTAAGCAGAACTACGCCACTGGGAGAGCAAAAGTACAACACTCCAGAGAACAGGACAAGATGATTAATAAACATCATAACATTTAACTAAATAAATCAGTTGAAGCGAGGTATCATGAGTTCTTCTATTTTTGAACTAAAATACATGTCATATTATTTCCTATATGAAATATAAGACCTTTCATGACTTCCTGCCAACTTCTATATTCTCAGATGGTGACAGATCGGTCAACAACCAGACAGTTGATTCTCTAAAAAGAACACATTCTTAAGAATCAATCATTTGTATACAGGCTGCACTCTATGCTTTTGATCCACTAAAAAACTGCTCATACTCAATAAATTGCAGTCACATTTACCATTGCCCTGTGAATTTTCGTGTGCAAAATCCAGACCAGGTCACAACAGGAAGCAATAGGCCAATAGGAATGAGAGAATAAGAGTGAGTTGTCCAAAAACAGGGGGAGGTGGATCACGGCCTATGTGAAAAATGTTAACCAAAACTAGAAGATGTGTTGAAATGTCCCTGGTTGTGAAATATCAGTCAGACAAGTATGGTCAGTGGAAACGCAATTAACATTAGAGGCAGCAAAGCTAAGCAGAACTACGCCACTGGGAGAGCAAAAGTACAACACTCCAGAGAACAGGACAAGATGATTAATAAACATCATAACATTTAACTAAATAAATCAGTTGAAGCGAGGTATCATGAGTTCTTCTATTTTTGAACTAAAATACATGTCATATTATTTCCTATATGAAATATAAGACCTTTCATGACTTCCTGCCAACTTCTATATTCTCAGATGGTGACAGATCGGTCAACAACCAGACAGTTGATTCTCTAAAAAGAACACATTCTTAAGAATCAATCATTTGTATACAGGCTGCACTCTATGTTTTTGATCCACTAAAAAACTGCTCATACTCAATAAATTGCAGTCACATTTACCATTGCCCTGTGAATTTTCGTGTGCAAAATCCAGCCATTCAGATTTTGCGTGAGGGCAAAAATGATCCCCATGCAGATTTCGGAATGGGTTTAAGTTGGTCACTTGAATTTGCCACATTGAACCAACAGATCATAATTAAATAAAGAAATTAACCTTACTACAGACAGTGTTAAAGATATCTTTATATTACAGAAAATAAACATGCAAGACTCTTCTTCACATGTACAGTATGCAGACAAACGATTTAACTGCTGACTAAGAGAAGCCAGTTAGAGTAGAAAACATTAGACAAACAGCAGACCTTGGGGGCTAATTCACATAAATAAAGCAGCCAGATGTTCAAATAGCTGCTGGCTAGTTTCACTGATGGAGATCTCCTAACTAACAACCTGCTAATTAACACCCAGAGCACCAATGAGTGAACAAGTTGAAGCGAGGTATCATGAGTTCTTCTATTTTTGAACTCAAATACATGTCATATTATTTCCTATATGAAATATAAGACCTTTCATGACTCCCTGCCAACTTCTATATTCTCAGATGGTGACAGATCGGTCAACAACCAGACAGTTGATTCTCTAAAAAGAACACATTCTTAAGAATCAATCATTTGTATACAGGCTGCACTCTATGTTTTTGATCCACTAAAAAACTGCTCATACTCAATAAATTGCAGTCACATTTACCATTGCCCTGTGAATTTTCGTGTGCAAAATCCAGCCATTCAGATTTTGCGTGAGGGCAAAAATGTTCCCCATGCAGATTTCGGAATGGGTTTAAGTTGGTCACTTGAATTTGCCACATTGAACCAACAGATCATAATTAAATAAAGAAATTAACCTTACTACAGACAGTGTTAAAGATATCTTTATATTACAGAAAATAAACATGCAAGACTCTTCTTCACATGTACAGTATGCAGACAAACGATTTAACTGCTGACTAAGAGAAGCCAGTTAGAGTAGAAAACATTAGACAAACAGCAGACCTTGGGGGCTAATTCACATAAATAAAGCAGCCAGATGTTCAAATAGCTGCTGGCTAGTTTCACTGATGGAGATCTCCTAACTAACAACCTGCTAATTAACACCCAGAGCACCAATGAGTGAACAAGGCCTCTCACCTTGCTCTGGTACATTACAGACTGTAGGGCAAGTAAGAGGGAGGATATTAGAAATAGAGTAGATGTATAATTAATCTGCCTGCTGGCACAATAGTCAAACAAATTCCAGCACTGGGGAATACGGGTATTATATATTGTTCTTCAGAAGAGGCTCTGCTTCAGGAGGAGACCGAGGTAGATTAAAGAAAAACGCAAAGCTTGATACAAATTTTAAAATTAGAGGCTAGTTATCAGTGAAAAACTGCTGTTTTTTTCCACTTCAGTGGTACAAAGGCTTAAGCCAGATTTGATTTTCCAGAGCAGTAGGTATAATATACATTATTCTAAGCCTTCTGGGATATTCTGCTCTTAAACATTATTTCACTGTCCGCTGGACCGCAGTAAACAGTGGGAGGAAGTTTGTGAGGCTCAATGGAAGCTTGCTATTCATAGGCCTCACTCGGAGAAGGGTTTAGATTATGATGTTCCCATGTCCGCTCTGTGAAAGAGAACAGGACTGTGGAAAAGCGAGTTGGGTGGAAGCTCAGTGTGAATTCCTGTGAGCAAACAGCAGCTTCGGTGATGACAGCATTGGACAAAAAGAGAAGGGCTGTTCCAAATTTAAATAATAAGTCATGAGAGTCTTCGAAACACAGTGTTTTTCCTCATTTAAAGCAGGCTGGTAGACAACATAAAGCTTATTACAAAACTTAAAAACTGGTGTACATAATATAATATTTCAAAATATAAATACATTATTTTTAATAAAAAATTATTTTGACAAGTAATAAAGTTAATTAACTATACTGTTGGCTTCTAATCATTTTAATAGTTTGTACAGTATTATGTACTCTTATATAAAATTATATATATTTATTATATAAAATATTTAGAACCTGGCTTATTCTATCAAATTTTAGAGCCATATACAGTATATATATATATATATATATATATATACACACACATTTTTTTCCCCTTTCCATAACAAGAAAAATTATCTGGTCTGAGGGTTTTTTGACTTCATGACAAGAATATATTAGGTAACTGCGTAGAGGAACATGATTAGTTCAAACAAGCAGAGTTTTAGTTGAGTCCCTTATGAATTTGTGAGCACTCTGAACAGAGAAAGCTTACTTAGTGATCTGTGTGGTCAGAAGAGGGCAGAGAGAGGAGCCAAACAACTGCCACATTAATCAGTCATCCCTGACTGCTGCCCACACAACACCACTGATAATATGCCACATGACACAGACGTCTTGAGGGCGTAGCCAATGAAGCCAGTGAAGCTAAGCCTACACACAGGAACAGAGTAGCATTAGAGTGCAGATTATCATGACGCTCTTACCTTGAAGGCATACTTGCGGCTGATGTGGTCCTCGGGTCCCACGGGGGAAATGACATAGCTGGGCAGAGGAATGCTGCCCAGAGCCATCTCCTCTCGACTATCTGTGAGCAAAGGACAGATGCTAGATGAAAATGTTTGAAAATTGTTAGATTACAATTGAGTAATGGTTTATTGGCAATACTCTTAAACAGACACAGATGACAGAAATGAAGTGACACTCCACTCTACCCACCCAAATTATTTAAGATCAAAACAGTATTACTTAGTGTGAACTGTGTTAAAATCATACAGTATAATTATTCAATATGATATGTGCAAGCAATAGGGATAAAAATAGTAAATGAAAAACCTGCTATTACCTATTAAATTGTAGGTACTCTCATAATAATGTATTAGAGAAATGGAGTGTTTTACTTATAAAATGTGATTATTGTGCAATAAAATGAGAGACTGCTTTAGATAATTGCAGCTAATTAAAGCTGAGTATTATAACTCACCTTTATAGTAAAACAGGCAGTAATCAGACAACACAAACCATTTCCTCTTCCACAGTCTCATGCCTGAGCTGTCCTGATGGTCAAAGAACAGTAATATTTCAGCCCACAAAACATTTTCAGATGTTATCTTTTAAATTAAAAATAAAAATAACAGTCAGTTTATAATCTATCATTACCAGCCAATGTAAATATTATTACCATTTAATTGGAGGCCCCTCTGTTCAGATTGAATATTTATTTAATATGTCATGTTAAATAACATGCTCAGTTAATCAGTTTATTGCCTGTGGATCTTAGTTCATCACTATTGTACAACTATTTTAACATCTGAACATAATTCAGTTCAGATAAAAATCAGATTCTGTAATCACTCGCATCAGGGTTTCACTTTTGAGGGTCACACCTGTTTATAGAGCCATCCTCTCACCACCACTGGGACATTAAGGTTCCTTTTGATGGAATGGTCACGCTTGCCAAAGCAATGCAACTTCCCATTGGGTTTCAAACTCTGTGGTATTTAAAAGAAAAAAGAAAACCACTTGTTTCATTTGATTTGATTAAAATGCATATATACACAGGCATCAATAAGGTGAAGTGGCATCCAAAAGTATTTGGATGCTTGACTTTTTTACTTTTTGGCCAAAGTGTCAAAAACATTCTGGGGCCAAATTATGTCCAAGGAAAGCACTTTTACAAAATGTTTACAATAACAAGGTTTGTGGCATTTATTAATCTCAATCCATATAAAGTTCAGCACAATTGATCATTTGTCAACCCAAATGTGCACAGAGGGTCCACACAGTTTTCTTACCTGTGTTACTTGAGAATAAAATGAGATTTTATTTAAAAACAAAAACAAATGTGAAATGATGACTGATGCCCACCAGGAGCCTGTTTCATTCCCGGTAAAGTGTGTGTGTGTGTGTGTGTGTGTGTGTGTGTGTGTGTGTTGTGTGTGTGTGTGTGTTAAGTCCAGCTTCTCTGTTGCTAGAAAAATCAGTAACCTATTACACCCTCTGCTTGGGTCATTTATCAAAATTGGAGGAATATAGCAAAAATAGATGAGGCCAATTTACTCTCTCCAATTACCTATAAACATTATCAGTTTTCAATATGATTTAATATGAGATACAAACACACACATTAGCAATGGTGAGGTTCTCTAGATAATTAGCCAGCTGGGCACTTTCATGCTCCGGAAGTGCTCTGCGTAAATGTTTGCTTTTATTGAGAATCAGCACCACGACAGACCACATTAAACCAGTCTCAGATCAGCACTGAACGAGGCTGGGCTTCTCACCCTGGATCCAGAGGTGGTGTCCGCAGGGGATGAGGAGACGGCTACAGAGGACTCGCTGCTGGGAGGCCTCGGCTCTGGTGGTGGCTTGGACATGCGTATATTTGCCCTGCAAGAGTCAGAAATAAAAGGCATGATCTCTACCAGGTATAAGGTGTGGTTACTAATACATGGTGAAATCAAGAGTGAAAAAGATACATTTTTGTAATTTAATAACCAACAAAGTAAAGCAGAGCCTGGGCACAAGTTCCACAGAGAGGAAGAGACTTAGAAGCACTCAAGTAAGGAGAAAGGAGGAGTAGTCAACAGACAATATCACCACCGAGCATACGCAACTCTAGTGAGTGTATTAGTCTCAGGTGACCTGGATATGGTAACAGTGACAACAAAACTAAAATCTATCTATCCATCCATCCATCCATTTTATTTATCTATCTGTCTATCCATCTATCAATGTATCTACATATTTATATATCTAAGTACCATCAATATCTACCTATACGGTACCTAGCTATCTACTTACCTACAGTATATCTACATACGTACCTATCTTTATCTACCTACCTAGCTATATCCACCTATAACTTGCTACCTACCTATCTATATCTGCCTATACCTACATCTACCTACATACTAGGGATATGTGAGAACAGCTGACTAATCGACTAAACAGAACTGGCGCTGCTAGTCGACATTGGAAATGCTAGTTTTTTTAATGTTACTTTCTAAAAAAGACCATGTCACTCAATGTCTGCTCAGAAATGTCCGCTTGAAAGATAATCAAAGCGTGTGTGTGTGGCAGAGGTGGGGGACTCAAGTCACATGACTTGACTCGAGTCTGACTCGAGTTGCAAATTTAAGGACTTGTGACTTGCTTGACTAAATAAAGAAAATGACTTGACTTGACTTGGACTTGAGATCCAGTGACTTGAGACTTGACTTGATTTGATTCGGCAGGACTTGACTTTATAACAACTCTAATTATTATTATAAATCATTGCGACATAATTTGGTAAACAAAACGCAAGCCATTGAGACTTAATGGTAGGGACTTGAGACTTGCTTGAGACTTGAACATGTGTGACTTGCCCCCACCTCTGGTGTGTGGGAGCATATTTTCCGGTTTAAAAGGGGGAAACATTATGAATGAAAGGGAACTGATTTTCTTCAGAAAGATTTTGTTGACTTTTTTCATGATATCTCCATATCCACCTTATTCTTCAATGTGGAAGTAAGCCTATGGGCGAGATTTCCGGTTCATTAGCCACTATAGGGAAATAATAAGAATAAGAACAACACGCGGTAAACGGCAAAACTGTTTGCACTACAATCCAGTGTGCTCATAATTAAGATAATGCATTAAAATAATATGGTAAGACACACCAATTTGCAATATCAAGCATCAAAACGAGCTGTTTTGTACAGCTAAAAATAGCTGGATGAGAATGAGACCGAAAGCCAGACCCATCAAATTTACAAATGGGAAAATGGGAAAAATAAGGTGGATAATGCCCAATAAAATCAAAGTCCCTTCAAGGCAAGTCATTTCACTCAGGGGCCATCTTTGAAACTCTGCTCGGGCATGCAAGTGCAGCTCCTATCTCTATGAATGCAGAAACATTAAATTCTCCAAAACTGTTCGCCAAGCTTATGATTAAATTTCATATTAGAAATCACCAATGAAATCTGACAACAACTGTATCTCTATTGCTTTGTCTGTTATTACATATCGTTTGATATGTACTATTATTTATGCGACTCTCTCATGTATCCACATGTGACAGTTAGCGGAAGCTAGAGATTACTGTTTATAACGTTTTAAAATATGGATATTTTTCTTACAAAAACAAATCAATACGCTTCAAGAGGTCTTTATTCACCTCCCGGAGCCGTGTGGGACACTTTTTATGATGGATGCGCTTTATTAGACTTCTTTTGGTCTATTGAAAAATAACACCCATTCACTGCCATTATAAAGCTTGGAAGAGCCAGGACAATTTTCAATATAACTCTGATTGGTTTCGTTTGAAAGAAGAAAGACATATACACCTAGGATGCCTTGAGGGTGAGTATTCATGGGGTAATTTTAATTTTTAGGTGAACTATCCCTTTAACTAAAATTCTCAGTTCCACGCGCATGTCCGGGAAACTCATAAATATTGATGTATGCTCTGCCCACTGAAACAGAAAATCTCAGAAACCGAAAATCGCATTACACCGGCCACTGACGTCACTGCCATTGTATAATTGGCTGAGGTGCCTCACGTGATCCAAGTTAGCCGTTACACTTTTTCCAGTGGTAAGTAATACAGACCCTGTCATCTCCCAATAAAAAGACAATCTCCGTCTATAGTCTTTGATGAAATAGAGTTTATCAGCGCAGCGCTGTTTTGTTTACAAGGGTAACCATGGTAACCACTGTTTCTCTGCTTGTCCATAAGCACCTCCTAATGTCAGAGAGTGAATTTGCATTTTCATTCAGCGAGTCTGCTGCTTTTGTTGCCGTCAGTGTTGGTAATTTTAGCGGTTTAATGGAAAATAAAAACAACTCAAATAAAAGGTATCAGGGATTATTTGACTGTTTGATTCATAGATTAAGTATTACAAATTAATCGCATATACACACAATGTTTTTGACTGTCTTCTGAGGGTTCCTTTTAGACTAGTCAACTAGTCGGTTACAAAATTTGTGTTTAAACGACTTTGAAATTAGTCACAGCACACATCCCTACTACATAGGCTACCTACAGTGGTGGAAATGGCCAAATTTCACTGGGGGGACTCTAGCTTGGAAAGGGGTGGGGGTAATTTTAGTTTTTTAGATGACCTTTCGGATGTATTTAATTATAAAACCCTTTATAATCTATAATAATATTAAACTTATTTCATATTTTCTCTAAACCTTCTTGGATATCAAGACAGACACCCTGCAATTCTGACCAAATTAAAGATAACGTTGTGTGTGAATTTGCACATGTTATAATGTACTGTAAGTATCATTAATGATCCCTTGTGTTTAATAAAAAAAATGAAATTAAATGAAAGAATGATTTAATAAAAATTAGAATGATTAGTAATTGTCTCTAATTGGCCTGATTAGCTAAGCCCACAAAACACTTAGTCATACAGTATTGTATTTGTAGATTATATTGAATAGTTTACACTTTGCATAAACATTTGCAATTAGTTTTTAAAAGGTAACATTACACTCTTCAGGACTCTACACTTACATTTCTTTATAGGAGCACTTGTGCTCCTACTTAAAAAAAATAAAAAAATAAATAGGAACACCTTCTGATCAATGACAGAAATTAACCTTCCCATTATGAGGCGATATTTGACTCTTTAAAGTGTAGTTTACCTTCGTAATGCAAGTTTTTTTCTAACATTATTAAATGTATGTCATCTTTTGTATTTAAAAAAAATTATATTTATAAACTTTTATCAAAAATTTTAATTAAACAATAATTTCAATTAAAATAATAAGATACAATCAGGAAGAATAAGTTACCAGTCAAATTAAATCAGCATCAATAATTCATCTTTTTCACTAGGAGGTGCACAGAAGAACACAAATTAAGGAATATTTACAGACTGTTAAATGAGACTCAGAGGTGGTTGTATTTAAATTCATAATAACATTGTTATGAGATTAATGTTTTAAATATAGGCCTAAAGTTTTGAATATAAAAATATTAAAGGATTTAAATAAATCAATTTATAATTTAATATTTAATTAAAATGAAACCGACAAATTGTCACTGAATCATTCATTCAATCGATTAATTCAAACGGCTGAATCATTTAGTAATGAAGCAAGCGACTGTCTTTATAAATGGGACATTGAATCACTGACTCTAGATTTGTTCAAAAACGCAGATTCATTCATAAACGAAACACCGCTGTGTTTGCTTGGAGATGTGCAGCAGCACAGCTGTGACTTTGTTTGGAACTATTTTCGTTGACGAAATAGAACAAAATCAGACAATAGTGTTCTAAAATGAAGGTCACTTAATATTAACGTTTGTATAAAATCAAAAATGTATAAAACTGTTATGTATAAAATGAATGTATAAATTCAATATCACATTTGCAAACTCCCTTTATAATCATTAAAAAGCTGTCACTCGTTTTAGTTCATCGCAATCTCATTAACTTAATTAATGGAGCTCTCTACACTGCACACCGAATCTATTATTTACATCGTGCCTACACTTTGTTTGTTATGATGAGAGGATCTGAGCTTGAATGACTCAGCACTGAACAAAAACGGCAGTCTGTTTGATGATCTGTGCTGTGAGGAGCAGTACGCGCACCGATAGAAAAGCATTCAGGTATTATGGCCAATCACAAAAGACGACATTGTGCAGCTAACCATAGACACAAATATCCCGTTACGTTTTTAATATATATTGCGCTGTGCAAAACTGGGACCGCTTTCGTAGTCTTTTGAATGGATAAAATATAGAAATAACTTTGATTTCCAAAAAAACCTAAGCAGTTGGAACTGGAATGAGTCTAATGGTTCCACTGGAATTACAGTAAAGAGAGTACAAACACTCATATCAAAAGTAATGTTCATTAAATAGGTGTTAAATAATAAATGATTAACCAAATGTTTGTGAAATGCCTCTGGACTCTGGACTCTGCATGAGTCTAATGGTTCCACTGGAATTACAGTAAAGAGAGTACAAACACTCATATCAAAAGTAATGTTCATTAAATAGGTGTTAAATAATAAATGATTAACCAAATGTTTGTGAAATGCCAGAGCCACGATCACTATTATACAAATGCCTTAATGCCAGGCTGCTTCTTGGAAGTATTTGGGTCCATTTTTCTTTCTTAATAAGGAGAACTGCATAAAAAGCTGCATTGAGATTCAGGTCATGCTAATGTAACATTTTGGGTAAATCAGCAGAGAGAAGAGCAGACGCCAGAGAGATGAGGGAGAAGGGGAGGAATAGAGGACAGAAGAAAGGTGTCAGAGCTGCCATTGCAGGCAACAAATAAAGAGAGAGAGAGAGGTGTCAGACTCAGAGACTGCAGGGAAGGTATAACCTAGAGTGAATGCCACAAGAGAGCCGCACCGTTCAACCAAACATGTCA